CTGGGGGACGAACTTCTTCGTCGCCTCTTCAGTTGAGTTTTTCCATTTCTCTAGCAGAGGAAGGAAAGCAAATGTCATCCAATACGCACTCGCGGCATTGGTATTGAACACATTGGTGAAGTCCTGCTCCTTGATGGCGTCGAAGAACGCTGAAACGTATTCCGAGGCACTAGGAAGAGAAGGAGGTACGAACTGTCCACCTTGGATACCAGCATTGTTAAACAGGACGGTAACGTAGGGTTCTCGAGAACCAATTTCGTCCGCAAGTCGTTTTGCTTCGGACTACATCAGACAGAAAGGTAGTCAGCTGGGAGACTGTGGACATTGCTCTCACGGGAGGCTCACCTTTACGCTGATGTCCGCTTCCAGTCCTACCATCTTGCCACTTCCAGGAATCTTCTCAGCAGCCTCGTTGTAAATATTGGCCACCCTGTCGAAAAGCAGATGGGAGGTCAAGACGCGTCCACAAAAAAAATGTGCCAGCATTCCGACCTGTCCATGTCCGCTTGTTTGAGTCCCACGATATACACCTTTGCACCGTTGGCGATCAATGTTGAGCTGATCATCAAGCCGATTCCCTAGCGACAACGGTCATTCCAAGGGTTCGGTCAAGGAGGGAAAGAATGTACGCACACTTCCTCCTCCAGTCACTACAGCCACAACTCCTCGCAAATTAAAAAGATTACTAGCATGTTGCGCTTCGAGGTTAACGTCAAAACCCATTTTTTGCAGAACAAGTAGGATGCTCTGTAAGGAACTGACGAGGTTAAGAAGCAGGAGTGAGTTTCGAAAGCTTCCCACCACCCCACTCTATTATACGATAAATTCGTGGAAGGGTTCCGAGCCTGCGTCACCAGCCTCTACAACCTTCGGACATCCCCCGAAGCATACCTGACTATAAGGGGTGGGAGAACACTCGACATGACGCGCCTGTGGCGTGCGAATTTACCCAGCCATCGGAGGTTCGTACTACTGCTGGTGGCTGACTTCCTACGCATTTCGCACGTATGGTTAAAATCCAGGCAGAAAGGGTCGGAGGAGTCAAAAAGGCTAAAGAAGCACTAAAATCCTGGGGAAAGTGAATGTTCCAATGTGAATATGGTCCATTCAATTTAGCCCAGGATTTACTTGCCGTTTACGATGGTGATATGACAGATTGTTATTTGAACAAATGGTGGGAACACGAGGACTTACAAGGTTTAGTCTTAGCTAAGTATAAGTAGCCTAATAGTTAAGTTATCAGTTGACTGTACAAAACAACGTGTTCAATGATTGAAGCCGTCACGTTGAATGTATCCCAAGAACACCCGTGTATCATATATCATGTATCACGAATCACGAATCATCGTCGGAGGCTCTCCGTGTTCTTCGCCTTGCCCACTCCAATTTGATCAAGTCAGCCGCCCTCTCAGCCACGGCATATACCGGTGCCATCGTATTCCCAGCAGGAAGAAAGGGCTAAACGAGGATAAGAGCCAGTCAGCACATATCGATCGGCGGCCATCCGAAAAGCGAGAGAGCCGCCTACCAAAACCGACGCATCAATGACCCTCAACCCATTCGCACCCTTTACTTTCAAATCGGGATCAACAACCCCGTACACGGCACCCCGTCTCGACATGCCCGCAGTGCCCACAATGTGTCCATTAGGCGCTGCGTTCGCCCGGGCGTAAGCCTCCAATTCCTCATCGGAGCTAGCAGGTGAAATGCTTATCGCGGAGCGGAGGATGTACCCGTCCCAAGGTGACGCGGAGGCGAAGCGCCAAACAGACTTGATTGCTTCTCGGAGAGCAAAGACGTCGAAACGAGTCGTGAGACATCCGAAGTTGATGATGGGCTGTGTGAAGGGGTCGGTCGTATTGATAGAGATCGTACCCTCTAGCGAACAATCGCGATGAGATGCGTAAGTGTCGGAAGACGGAAACACTTACTAGAAGTGGGCGTGAGAAGTGTAGCTGGGGCGGAAAAGAAGTAGCCTTCGGGCGGGGGACTAAGATTCCCGTTCTAGGAACACAGATGATAACATCAGCCACGACATGACGGCAAAATCAGAGTCTAGACACCCTCTACCGCACCTGTGTAGTCGTTCCTATGTGAGGCGAGAGTGGCCCAGAAGAGGGATCCTCCTCTAGCTCGAATATGCTAGCATCCGGAGGTAGTCGGCTATAAGCCAGGTGACTTACATACGCCACACCGAACGGACCACCGCCCTCAGTCTTCTGCCATTCACGGATCAATTCTTCCCGCCGTGTCAGATCCCGAATGCTGTCGTCAAAAGTCGACTCCTTGAACGTCTCATTGACAGAAAAAGGGAGGTTGACAGCGATGTGCACGGAAAGGTTCCTGCCCACATCAGGAAGATGGATGTGAGGTGTAACTCCGAGAGCAGATAAGAATGTTGAATCCCCGATGCCCGAGTTCAGGAGCAGTTTCGGGGTTTCGAGAGATCCTCCCGCTATCAAAATTTCTCGAGTGGCTGAAACTTTGTGGCGCACATCTGTTCAAACAAGTGAGTCAGTCAACAACGGAAGCGAGCTAACCCAGTCATCAAATTTATGTTTACCGATGCTGTTTCGTGTAAATTCAACCACTCGGAATGTCGGGGTGGGTCCATCAAGCGTGTCGGTCATGGGCAAAATCCTCGTGGCCTGTGCATTGAGCAAGACATGAAGATTCGGCCGACGAAGGAATTTTGGCCCCAAATACGATGTAAAGGAGCTACTTCGTACTCCGTGTTTCACAGTCTCTTGGGACCAAGCTACAAATGCAATAACTATCAGAAACAAACAACCTAGTTTGATGCGCCCAAAACCAGATCAATCTCACCGACACCCAACGGGAATCCAGAGTTGTAATCCAGATTAAATGGGAACTCGTCGGGCAATTCTTGCGTTAGTTTCCGCACCCGAGTATCAATAGCGGGAGTCGAAAATCCGTTCAGGCCGACTGAGGTGATACCTCCGAAGCCGTGAACGCCAGGATTCCACTGCCCAGTTTGGTTGTGGTTGTCGGTAGGCTGTTGCCACCGCTCGTTCTGTCTGAGAGTTTGAGTGCTATGTAACCAGTAGTGAGGCAGACAGACCTTGCGGAAGTATGGAAGAATTGCTTTCCATCTGATCGTGAGGAGAATCTATGTCAGGGCTTCGAGCATCGCCAAGGTCTGTGCCTCGAAAAGCAACTTACGACCACCCAGGGTCCCCTGTCACTCTGGCATATCTGTCCCAGTCACTCGCAGAGCCTCGACTGTAAGCCATGCCATCTAGATGGAAACGGTTTAGTCTCCAGAACGCAGACGTTACTTGGCGCCAACTCACTCATTGACGTGCATCCTCCTAACACCCTTCCCCTCGTGTAGTATAAGGTCCTTCCATCTAGTCCTTCTTGGGGAGGTGTGGTATAATTCCAATCCAAGGCGCTTCGCTCACGTACAAAGATCGTGAAGAATGGGATCGTGTAGTTCAACAGGCCCTCCGGGGATCCCCCAGCTTCCAAGAGTAAGACAGACCAGTTGGGGTTTTCGGTAAGACGATTGGCAAGGACGTTCCCAGCGGCTCCTCCTTGAGCGACAAATTCGGTCAACGAGAGAAGCGAGGATATTCTAGGCCGCGTGTTGAGGGTGAAGCTTACCTCCAATGACGACAAAGTCAAACTCGGTATTGTTCTGCCGAGCTGATAATAGCTGGTTGACGTCCTGATATATGGCACCTAATCCGAGAGATACTGAGGCCAGGAGAAACAGAAAGAACGAAAGGATATTAGAGGGCCTCATGAGTATCGTACAGTGGCCCGTTCCTTCACCAAGTTCACCACTCGGAACGCCTTTATTCGAAGCATAGTACCGTCCTATCGGCACCTCCTCCGTCATGAGTGATACGATTACTGGGACCACAGCGGTATAGTTCTCGCCGAAAGATCACACGCAAGGAAGCTGGGTTGTATGAAGGTTCAGATACGGTCGACAAGGAAATGTGACCATACCTCCATGTCAGGTCGAAGTCTTCTCTTCGACCGCAAATGACCTGTGTTGGTATAGGCCTCCCACTGGCTAGATGCTCTGACTCGTCACATTGGTAGACTTCCCACTGTAAACATCCATGTGATCCACTGTCTTACTTTGAACAGGCATGCAATCATTGCTACCAAGCCAAAAGTTGATTCTAAGCCCAAACACGGTTAGTCCAGAGCCCATGTAAGTCCTAATGAAGATTCGAACCATCCAGGCACAGATTATCATGGAACGGCTGTGAAATGGAGCCCATCTGATAAGAGTCAAAGCTTGTGTATGACGAAATACACCATACTTCCGTGTCTTCGCCATGACGGAAGAGTCAGAATATGTCGGATAACTCTGGAACTCTGTCTTTGAAATGTAGGACGCTCTAAATTTGATATGAGCAGCGTAGACGATCGCTAGTTTTTATGAAGTTGTATTGAGGATGGGAAAGAGAATTTGAGCGAGCCCGCAAGACTTGAAGGTGGTTCAGAAGAAACAGGCAATCGCGTCGCCGCGGCGCTAATTCACTGTACCGAGCCCAAAAAACGTGCTTCAATACCACCACCACCCCAAATCTCAATTTCTCGATCTGTTCAGGCCCTCCTCTCCGGCCTCAAAGCTCGAAGATTGAAGATCCATGAAATTACGTGCTGAACGGCATCGCCGCAAGGTTACCGGATACCTGACAGTGACTGCTTCGCCATGTAATGATATATTCCTCAACTCTCAGCCTTGTTGCCAACGCCAACTTTGTTCACTGTGTCTACCCTTTGCACCCTTACATCTTTTGGTTCACGAAACTCGAGAGCTGTGGAATCTCGACTTGGATCGATACTTAGCTTCATTGAACGCCTAAATGAGGAAGAAAATTACCGCCGAGCCAGCTTTTGGCTTCAAACTTCGATTGAATCTCAAGTGTGGACTACAATATCGCCAGGATCATGATATACAACCAATGAACTTTGAACGATCGTGCCACGAAGGAAAAAGATGCCAGCTCCAGACATGGACAAATCCGGAATTGAACCGGAGACCTTTCGCAGCGTCAGAAATTAATTTTCGAAGACTTTGATGCAAAGCGAACGCGATAACCCCTACGCTATTTGCCCATAAGAAAGAAGTTTCTACCAGTTTCCATGACCCCGGCGGGACAAGTACATTTATTGAAAGTCATCTATCCCTGAGCTTTGAGAGCATTACAATACCAGGCATTATTATTCATAGGCCTGCATTATCTCTGCCAAGGTGCCGCTGAATTTCAATTTGTAGCTGAGTCGACCACGGTAGCCCCTATTTTCGGTGATGTCAGTGATGTGCGTTATGCACTCTTGCGCAATCACTGTCGATTCTGAACCACCACCATCTCGATAAACATGGCCCTCCAACCATCTCTCAGACAAGCTCTGATCATAGCTGGGACCCTAGATGCTCCCCATACACTCGATATCTTTCGTGCGTTCTCGACTGTGTGCTGAAATGTCTCTGTCAGCGGGCTAATCAAGGGATTTTCGCCAGTTGATTATGTCTGTCCGTTCAGGTAGGCTCTAGATGTCAACTTCTCAGGTATGAGCTCATATCATATGTTCTTGCAGCGCGAAAATGGCTGTAGGCATTGAGAACGTTCTCCGTCCTCTCTTCAATCCGGGAGGGAAATACGCGGGGAAAGTGAAAGTGATCTTCAGGAACCAAGTTCAGCCTTGGCATGCAAGCTCAACGTTCGTTCATGAGGCTGGTTTAGCTGTGAGCATCGACTTCCCTACTAGAAGCGACTTCCAAATTCACCATCGTGTGTTCGTCCCTCTCTAAGGTTGCTCGTGTTGCCCCAGAAAAGTTTTGGTCGTTCTCCTTGGCCGTGCGTATTGCTTATTGCTATACACTGCCTGAAATCCTTATCCGCGGATCGTCTACACAGCTATTCAAGAGCCAAGAAGAATACTTCGACATTCCAACCTCTAATCTCACGCCAATCCAGATACGCGAGAAACTCGCCCACCTCGCCTCGCGAGCTGGTGTCAATCAATCTAATTTCAGCGATTTGCTTACACTGAAATCGTCGCCGAATGGTGGAGTCGATGTTACAGACGACCTCAAGTACACCGTCAAGTTTTCGAGACAGAACGGGATCCACGTCTCGCCTACTGTGATTTGGGATGGAGTTATCGCTGGGGAGGTGTCGAGCTCATGGGGACAAAAAGAATGGGAAGAATTTTTGGAGAAGAAAGTACTGATTTGAAGTCGTATCGGATGTAGACTGTAGACTGTTGCAAAGATATTGCAATCTTGCGTGCTGCAGGGTATTGCAGACTGAAATCGCTTCAGCTATCGGACTTCGGCCTTTTCCACAGTAGATAAGATGACCATTCTGATCTCAGCCCGACGTTCGACTGAAATACAGATTTCGCTCCCGAGGAACCTCAACATGTACAAGCGTTGTATTGACTGCAAGAATGTGGTGACATAACCCCATACAAGGTGGATAGGATAAAAATTACTCGATGCCGTTAGGTAGTAACGAATAACTTGGAGGAGGAGCTCTATGTGTATTTTGTGGGACCCGTGCCGCCAACTTTATGGTGAACCCCAATGCGAGAGAAGAGAAAGATGCTCAGTTACGAACGCAAATATGAAGAAGTAAACTTACCGCCATCTTGCGCCCACGAGAAGAACGACGAGGAGAAATGGGTGGCGCTGGCAAAGGGCGGGAAGGTGAAAAGTTTCTCATGGAGGTTCTTTCAGGATCCATGTGAGGACTCGGTTCTCTAGCTCCCTCGAGGTCAGGGCGGCTGGAGGTCGTTTGTCCCTTGACTTTGTTCTGTTCGAGGATATCTCCCTCTATATCCTTGCTAGCGTCCTCGATCGATCCGAAAGGCAGATTCTCACTTGCACGGGGTTGACTGGGCTGCCGATCTTGATCTGGATGTGTTTGCTGTTCCTGTTGGTCGATATGATCCTTGAGATGTAGCTGCGGTTTTTGGTATGGCCACGACGCGAAATACGGCCGCCGATCACCATCTGCAAGAACAGGGGGGTTGAGCATGGCATCGTGGGTAGCCAAAGGTATTCCCTATGGTCCACCACAAAACGCGCTCAGTATGGTTCAAAGCGAAAGCAAAGAGACCGTCACACACCTCTTCCGGCTTGTCGCGTGGTTTGACTTTCTTCCATAGGTCGCGGAAGCCAACATCTTCTCATATAATGCAAGGGTTTGAGGAAAAGAAGAACGAGTGTCAGTACTTATTGCGTATAGTACATGTCGGTAGAGTGCTAGAAGGGCAAGGGTCTCACTCACTGTTTGTGCTGGCATACGCAGCAGCAGCCAAAACATCTAACACGCGCTCTCTCACTACAGGGTTCGTCCGACGTGAGAAACAAAGGTTCTCAAGTGTGTCCAGAAATTTCTGAGAGATCGATTGGCTTATGAACGCATCTGTCGAGTTTCGAAGCATAATCGCCCACAGCTAAGGTATAAAGGTCGAAATTAGAGAGCTGGTATATCGGAATAAGAGGGTCGCTCACCCTAGCGGCACTGAGCTGAGTCTGGGGTTCACCGTACTTGAACTCTCTGCGCAAAGCCCGTATAGCCTCTTTGGCATTGGTTTCGCTGGCAGATGTGCGCTCACACACGTCCAGGACAAGAGCCCAATCCTCGGAGGCTGTTGCTGTGAGGAAGCCTGTGTATATCGCAAACGAAGAAATAAAGCTGGAAGATTACCGGAACGTTAAGGAGCAGTAAGCGTAGAGCGCACCTATCAATACCGTCAGCTCCTCCTGCTCCCCATTGGTATTGACTTCCTTATTGTCGCGACAGCCATTCGTCCATTTCGACAGCCAACCACGCTCCTTCTTGATCTTTACTTGTTCGGAGGCTAGTATGATTGAGAAGCCACGTGTATCATCAGTGAGAGAGGGAAAGAAAGCAGACGAATGAACGGAGAACATACCAGCCGACGTCGTCCGTTCCCGCGACTTAGATCTGATCTGCGGCCGCCAGCTTCCTTCCCGATCATCCACACTGGGATGCTTGTCGTTGACGGGAAGCTCGTGGAGCAAAAGGTCAAGACCTTCCCCCGAAGAGATGGTCTTGATAAGAACACCTTTGGCGGTATTCGAGTGGTGGCCGCCTTGCTCTACGGCCCGATCTTGTCCTTCCGTTATGATACCGTGGTCCATTGGATGTTCATGCTGTGGGGTTGAGTCTGAGTGAGTGAGCTCAGCGTCTTCCAGAGGCGTGATCCAAGGACGGACAAAAGATCGTTTGATTTTGTTCCCAACCAGCGGGAATAGTGAGTATATCGGCTCGTGCAATCCGCGACCCTCCGTAACTGCTTCAAGTTCAGGTTCTACCCAGTCTTTTTCACGAACCTGAGTGGAATCGTGCGCAGCGGACGCTGGAGAACGATGACTGGTCTGATGTTGCGGCAAATGCTTCGAGCCGATGCGATCGACGAACCGAGTTGCTCTTCGCTCCACCAAAATTTCCGATTTGATACGATGGAGGACCTCGGTCGCCTTGGGTCGAATAGCGGAATTCGTGTTCCAGCATGCCTCCATAATGTTCCACATCCTGTCGTTGAGCTCGGGGATCCCCACAGGCCTCATGGGACGTTTCTCGCTTACGACAACGTGGAATATCACAGCCGCATCATTGGGAAGCTCGTGGAAGGGTGAGAGGGCAGTATAGATCTGCAGTAAAGCGTGTTAATAAGAAGTAACTAGGCTGGATTGCTCGTCCGAATACCTCATAACAAACACAGGCAAAAGCATAGATGTCGCTTTCTTTGGTAGGGTCAGAAGTACCATTCAAGATCTCGCGCGCGAGCCACCGAACTGTGCCAGCAGCACGAGGGGCTGACGTAGTTAGATGGAGAGCAAGAGTATCCGCGATGCGAGATAGCCCAAAATCGCCAATGCAAGCGCGACCTTCCGGGGTGATAAGGATGTTTAGCTGTGCGAATGGGATGAGCGATTTTTACAACGAATGGCGAGAATGCTTGCCCACCCCTTTCAAATCCCCGTGGACCACCTTCTTCCCGTGTAGGTATGCAAGACCTGCTGCAACGTCATAGACCTATTAGAGCACCAACTAAGCATTGAGATCGACATCGAGGCGCCCAACTGGCGTACCAGTACGAGATGATCAACATCCGCCCTCCGGGTGGCCTTGAGGTATTGCAAGAGATTCCCATGATCCATCCACGGAGAAATGAGACAGAACTGGCTGTCGTCTTTCAAGTAAAAAATCCCCAGGAATGGTAGGACATTCGGATGGTTCAACTGGCGCCACACGATAGCTTCGCGGAGATATTCCTGCCCTTCGTATTCATGGAGAGAAACAACGACAACCTAAAGGAGCACAAACCTTGAATAGCGCGTCCAAGTCACTCTTCACGTACACCTTCGACACCTTCAAACACACCAGCTGCTCCTCCGATCCCGATCGTCGAATCGCGCCCTTCCAGACATCCCCAAATCCTCCAGCGGCGATGGGATGCTTACCCAACTTATAAACATTCTGCATTAACAAATTTCTTGGGTGTTGCCCGGACAATTTCGAGAGACGTATCATGACCGTGAACATTGAAGAACGGAAGTGAGACGTCATATTTGAGTTGGGGTTATCAGTGAGCTAGAACGCGAAAGATGAGCAAGGGAACAGGCTAAAAAAGCTACTCGAGCCTACCTGCTGAAGTTTGTCCAACCAGTTCTGTGCATTCTCGCCTGTCTGTTCCAGAAAAACTCGAAGCTGCTCTTCATCTCCAAAAACCTCTTCAAGATGTTGAGTTAATTGTTGGTCGGTGAGCGACACCATCTCTCCATTAGCAACGATTCGAGCCTTGCGACCAGGAAGTTGAATAAATGCGTTGCCAGCAAACAACGATGAGCACTAGGATAGGATGTTTCCATTGCCACTCCGAATCTTGGCGACCGATATCAGTGGCGTTGGTGATATTGTGATGTACACTACAGCAAGTACGCTGTGCATTGTCTGCGTAAATGTAGAACACTGAACATATTTTTTCCGAGTCGAATGACCATGGGATACTTGTGGCAGGATGAAAGCAAGTTTGGTGGGTTTAAGAGCAAGTCTAGACAGTCTGGATGTGGCCAACACCCTCGTCTATCATTCATCACCGAGCGCTCGGAGAGCCATCGTATTCATAGTCTCTAGATGAGGATAAAAGCCTCTCGGCCGTCGTTAGCGATAGAAATCGTATTGCACGTTTTGAGGAGTCGTCGTTGGTTGGTGGCAGGTGCAGTCAGACTCTGAGATCGGATTTAGGCGGATTTGACTGGTCTCAAGATGAGATAAGATTTCTGATCTTACCTTGACTAGACCGTCACAACCCTGACCACTGCCCTTTTCCTCACTCCAACAATGAATGAAGTACGTGCGACTCAGATTTCTCCCCTCACATTCATATAGCTTACTGCGAGGTGGTACACTCTGCTCTAGCGCACTTTGAATTGGTGATCATCGGATGGGCAGGTTATCCGGAAGCACGGTTGTTCTAAAATTGAGTTCCTGACACCCAGCGCAATTGAAAGCACTGCCAAATGCTGCCAGGTGGACCCAGGTTGCAGTGTTTTTGGAGTCTCGCGGTACCTATATGAGGGCTCTAGTGCACCTGTTGGACCCCTCTCAACCATGTTACTCGACCCAGCGCTGAGCCAACTGGAGGAGCGTTTAAAGGGAATCTTCGATGACAGGCTGAAATTGCAAGGCTTCCTGGATATGGGGGGATATGAGGCCCAGGACTGGCTGGACAGCATGCAGCAGGTGAGTATATGCCCCATATGTCACAATGCCCGAATAAAACTAGGGAATTTCAGCTTGTCGATTGTCCTCAAACCACCCCAGCGGTGCGGTCTTCGATATTTACCGTTATGGTACGCCTATCGAAGAACTCAGGATTACACCCAAAATGCCTCGCTATTCAGAACGTGAAGAGGCTCGGAGAGTTCCCTATTGCTGCTGGTGGTTTTGGAGACGTTTGGAAGGGCATCATCGGTGAATCGACAGAGCTTGTGTGCTTAAAGGTCGTCAAAATTTATCTGGAATCCGACCTGGGGAAACTGTCGACTGTATGTCACCCGTCCGATACTATATATGCTACGTTGCTGATACACAAATTATTGACAGGAATACATCAGAGAGGCGATCCTCTGGCGTCAGATGAAGCACCCGAACATACTGCCATTTCTTGGGATATATCAGCTCGAATCCACTCAACAGTTGTGTCTAATCTCTCCATGGATGAATCAGGGTAACTTGATCCAATTTCTGAGAACTTCGAGGCGGGAGGATGTTGACCATCACACACTGGTAACATTTATCGTATAACAAAACACCTGGGAAATCCGGCTGACGCGACCTTCAGGTACACGACGTTGCAACTGGTCTGGCTCACCTCCACGCCATGAAGATTGTCCACAGTGATCTCAAAGGTGTCAACATTCTCATCACAGACGCTTTCCGGGCCTGCATCGGAGACTTTGGCTTGTCTCGCATCTCAGATACACGGGGACTCAGCATAACGACGACATCACGTCCCCGTGGTACAGGTCGCTGGCTGGCCCCTGAACTACTCACCGGAAGCTACGCATCCAAAGAGAGTGATATCTACTCACTCGGGTGTGTTTGCTTCGAGGTAAGCTAGCGCAATTGGGTCTAAAGAAGACAAAAATCTCACGTCCCGCCAGATTTTCACGGACGGACAACACCCTTTCCCTGAGCTCCCACACGAAGCCGCAGTAGTGCTTGCCGTTATTCAAGGACAACGACCAAAAAGACCTGCCTCAGCACCCGAGCTCACTGACGATATGTGGGACCTCATGGCGGAAATGTGGTCCCCAGATCCATTACTTCGCCCCAATGCACATCAGGTATTGAATCGGTTATCGAAGATGAACTCGCGGAAGTCGATCAGTGCGCCATCGGATTGGAACGAGTCAATATTTACCCAAGTCTGGGGCAACGTCGAATATCGTTCTGTCGTTGAACCAGGTGCGCAGATCGACGGCGACGATAGCACACCTAGTGCCCCATCGACATCGGTAGTCAATTTGTGAGCGAATTCCCTGTATTTGAAGTCATGATATTGATACCTCTTTGGACATGATAGACCAACTCCCGACAGTCTTCCTCCTTCATATTGGGACCTTGAGGGAATTGAGGCCGGACCGCAGAAAGGCCAGGACTCTCCGACGCCTACATCGAGCTCATCTCTGCAAATACATCAGGACCTGCAAACTCTGTCCATCGAAGTAACGACGGAGGAGACGAGCACGGAACCGTTTGATGAGACACCAACTTCTCCGCCACTCCATGATCCCCATTCCCTGTCCGCAAGCCCGACGCCAAGAGATTTTCCTCCGGTGCCTCGAATTTATGGAGAGAATGACCATCAACTTGCGACGCAGACAAGTGGAGCTTCAGGCTCAAATTCTCCAGTCGTACCTCCCTCGCCAAAACTTACGAAAGCAGAGGAAGCGGGGTTTTCGTGGCCTGCAGAGCTTCCCAGTGAGTCCTGACTTATTCCGAGACCTCTTCTCTCTCTCACCAGTTTGTCGATCGATAGCCTTTGATAGGCTCGTCTCGGAGAACAAATCAAAACATGCGTCTCTTGTTCGAATGATCGCGGAAGTCAATCACGCCCCTGAAGCATTGGCAATACAGCAGGCCAGAATAAAGGAGCTCCAGTTTCTGATCGAGGAGAGCATGTTACATCTCGTGAAGATATCGGAGAGGTTAATCAGGCAATGGAAAGCACAGGAGAGTGCGGAGAAACCGAAGGCCCAGTTCTGGTCGATAAAACGGAGGACACAGAAGGAAAAGGAGCCTGTGGCTGACGCAACGTGAGTTTTCCGTGTCTACTGTGTCTTCTAGAGTATGCTGATAGACGCCTTCAGATCATTCCGAATCATCGAGGAGGAGATGAGAGAGCGCGAAAAACATAATGAGTTAAAAGAGGAGTTGGCTCAAGCGGAAGCGGAGGTGCGTCTTCTGTCGACCTTTCCCCTTCGGTTGACCAATATTCATACTCATACTACTTGCGCACCGCTCAGGAAAGTAGCCTCAACGACCAGGCAAGAAGATATACTACCATGACGGACGAGCTGGATACGCTCTACAACAGCATATTCAATGGATTCACAGGTATTAAGCACCTCATTCTATCATCTTCGGGTCGATGCAAATTCAGAGTTCCCTCAGATTACCCCGAGCAGAACCAGCTACAGCAGCAAATCGCGGCAGCAAAGGCCATGTACGATCGGGTCGAGGCCACTTTCGATGCTGAGACACAAGCGTACGAGCGCCTATACCGCGCGGAGAAGGTGTTGCACGATTGTTTAGAGAAACTAAAGGAAGCAGTGCGATGTGCCACTTCGCGTCAGTCTTACGTTAGGATACTATTTACATGCAAGCGCTGAGTTTTTGTCCTTCTTTTCCTTCAGCGACTGGATCAAGTTTTGGGCGGTATGTCTCGCGTTCGATGTTCAATGTTGGGCGTTGAACTGAGATTACATTTCTCTATTAGGACCTCATACGAAAGGGAGTCCGCTTGTCTTTTAGATGCCCACACGTTGGCCAGCCAGGTACCTTCACTGGTGCGGGAAGCTCGTCAACTGTCACCTTCCATCAAGCCACTGAGGGCTCTTGCCATTTCGCAAAGGTGAGTGCACATTCACCCGTCCTTCTTACCCTTCATGACTCTCGCCCTCGCAGTATCCCTTCTAGAGCAGCTTCAGAAGGAAGAGAATACTTTAACGGTGCGTGTACTCCCCACAAACATGAGTTCCGTAGTCCTGAATTTCCCGCCCAGATTTCTTGGATGAGATTACATCCGAAGTCGTTCGTGCTCATAAACAGGCAAGTATCTTGATCGTTTGCTTCCCCTCATGTGTCACTCACGAAATCAATGCTCAGATCGTGGCCGAATGCACAACTTACTCCGGGCGCACCGCCGGAGCTCATTCTGTCCTGGAAGGTGTTGCTCAGACTTTGTCTCGGTACAAGGATGAGCTCAGGAACACAAGGAAAGGGATATTCGACGAGGTTGCGGCAAGGTCCAGCCGAGACTGGAACGATGAGCGCCCTCCTGCATACCAATTACATGATCCTCCTCGTCAGACCTCTATACCCATGCCTACGACCAACACACAGGAAGTGGACGCGCCAACGCCGCCCGCTATGCCCAATTTGTCTGTTCCGTATGAGTTTGACCTGCCGTCTGTGACTACACTTGGCCATACTTATTCATACCTGGTCGGATCCGCCTTCTCTTAGCTATACTTAGGATGTTTACATGTACCTAGTTTCCCGCGTTGATGCTCACATTTGCGCTTGTTGCCCTCCATGTTTATGTTCATGCATAATACATCATGGACAGGCGGCTCATATCACTGCCTCCGTAATTACGAACTCGAAAGCTATTAGTATGGGTGAATATCTCTACTTGGAGATATCAATCACGCGTAGCCAACTGGAAAGATTGCTGTTATACAGCATATTTCCGCAAAACGTATCCTGCTGACTGGTCAGTCAGCTTCGTTTATGGACAAATCCGGATTTGAACCGGAGACCTTTCGCAGCAGTCGTCGACCCTCGACAGTATGCAAAGCGAACGCGATAACCCCTACGCTATTTGCCCATGCTGGTAGGGTTCAGTTTGAAATTTGATCGGGGATAATTTCTCCGTTTATACCACATCGTTCTTCCGTCGAGATTAACTCGCCGAGGGGTAAATCGGGGTCCGTCCAGACTTTGTTGGGGTAAACCCGGGGAAAGGATGGTAAGGTTCTCGTCTTTGGAGGGGCGACTGGTCTTCGACCTTCTCGGAATTCAGAAGGCACAAGTCGATCAAGGTGATGGAATCGCTCCCTGACGCCTACCCCGTCTGATGCTCTCACTGGCCCACAATCGGCTATACCAAGCGCGAATAACGAGGAGCAAACTCTGTGTATGAAGCGCAGACGAGGGCTTGACAGACCAGGCCGGAGACTTATCGATCCCTGAACAAGCTCTGAAGTTGCGGCCATTAGCGAGTTGATGAAGCGGTCGACCCTTTGTTGAAATTGCGTGCGGACGTGTTTTGAAACAACCCGGGTATCAGATATACATAGACTGTAGGCCATAGCTTTTGAAGTCGTTACGGCTACCTACTCCGCTGAAACCCGAAGCTTGTACTCACGAATCGTCGGGAGCTTGAAAGCACGGTGGCCTGAATAGAGTGTGTGTCCGGAGATTCTGTGAAAGTTCTTAGAGTCTCTCTTCGAGTTTGTGGCTGGAGCTCCAGGGCCGGGTAATTCTTCAACGGGTACCGCATCTACCAAGCTCAGGGATGCAGAGAGGGCCAAGGGCGGTACTTGCTGAGACTTACCCGAATGGGAAATCGGCGAATGTCGCGTAATGAGTTCTCACTGAAGAGTCCCAGCACATCCACAGCCGTTCTCTCCTCTAGAGCATGTAAATTGAGCAAAAGAGACGACGGGAAATAGTTCCAGACTTGTTTGGAGGTGGCTGAACGAAGGAAAACCATGGGAGAAACCCTCGATGAGTGGAAGATGTGCACGTGGCGTTGTACACAGCCTTTCACAATTTGACAGTGCACTGCAGGATAGAATTAGGATTGTCTGATTGTCAGTTCTTCCAGCTCGCCGCCAGCAACCGTGTCAGTTCAGTCGAGTCGAGTCGAAGTCGAGCTCAGACTGGGAGCACCAGCATGAAAAAGTTTTTTGGCGGGACCAAGCCAAAACCAGCGACGCCAGCAACCCCCACAGTCCCAGTTAAAACGAACGATGCCGTGGTCGAGTCTTCCCCTTTACCTACCCCAATTCATGCTGTCTACACGCAGAGTCAGAGTCAGAGTCAAGTGCAGCAACAACAACAAGCTCAGCAGCCTGTACAACAGCAAGCTCAACCCCAACAACGACGAGAAGACCTCGACGATGCATCTTTCGACCTTGTAGAGCCTTTTCCCAACCCACATCCACCTACAGCGCCAGCTTTGGCACCATCAAGATCATCGTCCTATGGGAGCCTTCCACCAGGCGCGGCACGGCCACCCAGTCCCCATCAAGAACTGTCTGGATCGAACACGTTGAAGAAGAAAAGCCCCAACCTTAACCATCATCATAACAATTCGAGCAACCATTCGATATCGACACCGCCAGCGATGGGGATATTGAAGGCGCTGGATCCGCCACATGCACATCAGCATCTGCCGAGCACTGGACATCTTCATCAGACTCATCACCACCACCAGCACACGGGGTCGACTGACACAACGGCGACAATGCAGATGATTGCGCCCTCGAGGCCCAGTATGGGGATGGAGCGATATCCATCTATGAACTCGCTGGCACCAAGCACAATGGTGTCGCACGATACCGAAAATGGCCACGTCAGGAGGGAGATCAGGGAGAAAGAGAAGGACAGGAAGGAGGGTGGATGGCTATCCAAATGGACTAGTGGCGGTCACGATAAGGACAAGGACAAGGATCATGGCCATGGTCAGAGAGAACGAAGCCAGTCGTGGCAGCTGGTGCACCCCGAGGAACAGGGAGGAGAGCTGACGAAGTTGATTGGTGCGTTCTACATCTGCTACACCTGCATCGTTTCAGTAATTCCTCAATCGTTTCACTTCGTTCGCGGTGTACACAGGCTTTCTTACAGCAACATCCTCTGAAGACTGGGTTCTTGTCCTTGACGTTTGTGAACGTGCATCAGCCAGTGATTCCAATGCCAAGGAAGCTGTACGGGCGTTACGCAGAGAGTTCAAGTACGGCGCACCCCAGGCTCAGCTCAGTGCTGCTCGGGTAGGTGATCCTTGTCTCATCCTGATATTCAAGCTATTAACTTCGACCCTCACACCCAGCTTTGGGCAATTATGCTTCGGAACTCAACAGATACATTCATAGGCCAGTCAACCTCACGGAAATTCTTAGAAACCCTGGAAGAGCTTCTTTTGAGCTCAAGAACGAATCCTGTGGTGAAAGAGCGTGTGCTAGACGTTCTGGCGGCTGCTGCGTATGCCAGCGGAAGTAGTGAGTGATGTCTCCGTCTTGTCTTATGTTCTGGCATTCGAACCGTCTTGGACCTCTTTTTTTCGAGTGGCTTTCCCTTTCTTTTGCGGTTATCTTCGTGCTTTCCCCTGGTCGTACGCAACGAAATACTAAATTTGGTGCTGTAGAGAAAGATACTGGATTTCGCGGCCTCTGGAAGAAAGTCAAACCGCACGACAGGCCAGAAGAGGTATGTGGCGATTGTCCTCTTCTTAACCCCTCACTAACTGCAAGTCGCGGTGACCAATAGGGGATGCCATTTGACACGGACGATGCCATGTTCAATCCTCCCACGGGTGGTGATCGGCGGTCCTACTCTGAGTCTCTGCCGTACCCACAGCCGCAACTGCATCCAAATCATCATCATACTGGCCAACAGCAACAGTATGATCATCAGCAACAGCAACACACGCAACAGAATCAGAATCAGCCTCCCAACAGCCAGCCCGGCAAAACTGGCGATCTACTTCCGAAGGCGAATGGCGATGCTGCGAAGGAGAGGACCAAGGATAGGGGAGAACGGCGAGAACGCGACCCCGACCGGGAGCGCAGTAGCGGTCGGGAACGCAAGGATTCGAATCGTGAACGTGATCTCGAACCACGGGAGAGGGATAAAGATAAAGACCGGTCGCATCGTGAACACCGTGATCGGGACAGAGGCAAAGACAAGGACCGAGACCGTTCATCACGCAAGGATAAAGACCGTGAGTCCCGAAAGCGCAAAAAACATCGCTCCTCGCGCGAACGAGAACGGGATACTCAGAAGATCATCCCACCGGAGGAGGATATTCGACGGCTATTCCAGGAGTGTATTATTGGCAAGGGTAACGCATCACTACTGAGCCAGGCGTTGGTGCATACCACCCCGGAGGATTTCCTCTCCGATAACACGGAAGGGCAGAGCAATGGAATCATCAGGGAATTCCGGGTGAAGTGCATAGCGAGTCAAGAGTTGATCGCTGCACAGATCCCATGGGCCAGCGCTGGCTCTGAGAGAAGCCGGAGGGAACTGAACGCCAAGCGCGAAGCAGAAGGAAACCTCATCACTGGGGAGGAGGACGGAGAGACGACTGAGGAGAAGTTATTGGCCGATCTATTAGGTGCAAACGAGGAGTTGTTGGCTGCGCTTGGGCAGTACGAGGATCTTGAAAGGGTTGCGAGGGAAAGGAAGGCTGAGGAGGATAGCAAGAACGATATCGGAGGGAGGAGGGGGAGGGTGAGCTTTTCCGTGCTGTTCATTGGCAGAGTGATTTTTACTAACATTTTTTCGCCCTCCTCAAACAGGACGAAATTGAGCGACAGCTCCATCAAGAGGAGCTGTACTTATCCTCAAGTCGCGCTGCGCCTATGGGTGCGAGATCACCGAGTCCAAGCCTGCATCCTGGCGGTGCAAGGGTGCCTTCGAGAAGTCCTTCATCGTCCCCGCCCGTGCCACCACCACCTGTGCCTCCTCGTATCCCTTCCCCCGGCGGGCGGCCGAATTCGAGGCCCTCGTCTATCATTCTTGGCGGTGGTCTCACTTCCGGGCAACATGCTCCCTACAACCATCTCGCACCCCCCACTGCACCCCATGGACCCAGGAGTCCTGGGTTGAGGGGGGCTATTCCTGCTGCTTCAGCCTCTGCTGGTTCGTTCGGTTCGACTGCGGACCACGGATACATTAGTAATGGGACATGGACAGGAACAACACCCGTGCCTGATACCTCTAGTGACGACGACGACGAAGAGTACAAGCCTAGTGAGAAGGCTCGCGGAAAACAGAGAGCCGTTGAGGAAGAGGACACATCTTCTGTCCTCAATCGTCAGCGAGGTCATCAAGCTGACGACGAGTACGGGCATCTGGGAGCGAATGGAAGCCCGCACGACGACCATTTCAGTGTGAACTACACCGACGAGGATGCGAGCGATTCGGAAGGTGGCTATCGCAGCGGAGGTGGAGGTGGACACAAACACCGACCGGTACAATATGCGTATGATGCTGTCGCAGAGCGGACGAAGCAGAGGCTGATTGAGAGGAGGGTCAGCGGTGTGCCCGAGATTGGTAGAGGCTAGAGTGCTGTGGTGTATTGATCATCGTCATGAACGGAGAGAGGAGAATGGTGGTACTATTGCTGCGTATCATCTACCATTTTTTTGGTGTCTTTTTGACTGACCGCAACACATGCACATACTACCAAAATGCCTACCTCCCAGCGGAACTTACAACTTATCTATTTATTGATTGAGAGTCATTTACATTGCTCTATCAATCGTTCACTCCCTATATCAATGTTACTGTAGCAATAGTCCTCGTTCTCGACTTCTCGCTCTCGGACCTCACAGACTGATCAAACTTGGATCAAACGCCCAGGACTTGAGTATCCCAGTGCTGGGCGTCTAAGCAAACATAGTTGCTCTCCAGCCTCCACCTCTCTTCTTTCGCCTTACCTGCACCGTGCGGGTACATGCTGGTCGGAAGAGTTTAAGCGTTACTCGCACATTCGCACAAGAGAGCATGTTCAGTCCAGCATCTGCAGAGAAACTGCATGTGCATCTAAACTTGATACGGGCCGATTAGTGTTCATGGGAGCATGTTTCAGGACCCCTT